CCTCTCTACTTGGGTCTTTCCAAATGGACTTCTTGTTACCCAATTTCAACAGATTTACACGGCACTGCATACAGTATTCTGAAGTACTATGTGAGAAGTATACTATATAGAATATTTTAATTGTAATTATATGAATTGATCATATTATAGGATTATTAAATTAGGTTATGCATTTAAATTAGTACCAGAAGACTTTTAAAAATACTTAATACTATTTAAAAGAGATACCTTTTTTAAGAAGATACTATATGCAATGCTATACAGTAATTAATCAAAATATAAATATTATATTAGTACTTATTAAGCCTAATCAGAAAGAAAAGATAACTAATTAGATAAGAGACCAATTAATTTCTTATATTGCGAATGTTCAAATTCAGAATAAACTTGTTTAAATATGCTATTATTATTTTTTTTTTGAATAGAATGACTACATATTTGGACATAGAATACAGCTTTTCTATTTAAAATAGATTATAATTTATTATGCTTTAAACAATAAAATTTTTTAAATTTATATAAATTAAATTAATAAGTAAATAATAAAAAATATATAGCTAATTGTTTTACTTCATCTAAGCATCAATATACAAGTATAACAATTGTTTTTTGTTTTATAGATTAAGTTCCTAATATTTCTCATTTGTTAGTTCTAGTAATATACAATATTTATGAAGAATAAGTTTAATTTTTTTTTTTGAATAATGCAAATCTTTAACATCAGAATATTGATCCAAGACTTTTAATAATGCTTTAGATTTCTGAAAATAAAATTTAAATTAAAAATTTAAAATATAAATTTTATTATACTAAGACAATTATCATAGAATTGCTTAATGTTTCAATTATCAAAAGTATTAGCAGTTATAATATAAATAAATTAAAAACTTTTAAATATAATACAAAAAACTTTAAAACAATCTTGAGCTAACTAACAGCAATTCTAAACTTTCTATATAAAGTAAATACCTATTTTGATATTTTATTTACTTTGACCAAAAGAGTTTATTATTTAGGATTATTTGAGATTATTGAAAATATATGTCTTGAACTATGTATTTGAAACTTATTAGGCTCTAATAACTATTAAAAAAATTTTTTTTCAAATGCATGATTTTTAGAGAGTAAAAAGCATATGAGAGCCAATCAAATTCAAAAATTGGCTTGTAGATCATTTTAGAATATGATTTCTTAATTTAGTATATTCTCAAACTGTAATAAACTCTATATATACATATATATAAAGTTTTATTTATTCTTATTATTAATTCTATCTTATACAACTTGATGAAAAGTTCTTTTTATTGCCTAATAGGATACAATTGTAATATAGATTATTACACAAATATTTATATTAATTTTAGAGTACCTCTTATATAAAAATGTAATTACTCATATAACAAGTAACTAAGCATATTACTTATAATTAAATAACTTTCAGAATACTTTAGTTTTTCATTTTATTAGCAGTTTGCAAATTTAATTACATATAATCATATTTTTGGAAGACTTTTACTAGTGCCAACTTTTTGCAATAGACTAATAGGCTTATAAATTTTTTTAAAAACATTATTTCAACAACTAATTTGTTTTTTATATTTTATTGATATGAGTAGAAGTTGTACATATATAAAAATCATCTGGATAACCCAGGTAATATTTATTAATTGAATCATAGTTATTACTAACTAGATAATTTAGATTAAATTAATGCAAATGCTATTTTAAAATGTTACAGAAAAAAAATTAATTGACACAAATTACAAGTAAACATAAGCAAAAATTTGAGCAAAATTCTGAAAAGATAAATATAAAGTTGAGCATTTTGTACATATAAAATTTGAACCAATTTGGTAAATTGGATCTAAGGTTGTAAAAGTACTATAATTTTATGTAATGTATAATTTGGGATAAGCTTTTATAAGAAACATAATCATAATTAAAATTTTAAAATTATATTAACTTTTAAAATAATACTTTAAAAAAAAACTCTTAAGCAAATTATAATTATTGTTTATTTTTTTTTTATATTTAGCAATTCTTATATTATATAAAACTACATCTTATTAAAATACTATCTTTCATAGATTATCATATAATAACAAATATAATCAATATTCTTTTTATTTTATTTTTTAAATTTCAAATTAATAAAATAGTAATAAAATTTTAAATTAAATTATTTTTTAATCTAATAGATATTTAAAAAAGTAGGATAGAGAAGACATTGCTTATATTTAGTACTATATAATAAGTATTATTCAGAGCTTTTTTATAATCACCTGTCTTGATTACAAGTTTTAAAACTATATTAGTTGTTGAAATAATGTTTTTTAAAAAAAATTTTATAAGCCTATTTAGCTATATACTATTAGTCTATTAGCAAAAAGTCAGCACTAATAAAAGTCTTCCAGAAATGTGATTATATGTGATTAAATTTGCAAACTGCTAGTAAAGCGAAAGACTAATGTATTCTGAAAGTTATTTAATCATAGGTAATATGCTTAGCCACTTGTCATATGAGCAATTGCATTTTCATATAGGGGGTACTCTAAAATTAATATAAATATTCGTGTAATGATCTATGTTACAATTGTATCCAATAAAAAGGACTTTTCATCATGCTATCTTATGTATTATGCTTTAAAACCTCTTTAACGTAATTTAGACATCACTTATCTATTGTTAAAAAAAAAGCATTTGTACTGTTAATTCTCTTAGCTGTATTTAACGAGTTGGTAATTACATATAGTTCTGTAATCACAATTTACATAGAAAATTCACCTTCTAAATTAGGGGATCCGTTAAAGCCAGGTTTGATCACGTGATCCACCGACCTCCGATCCAGATCATCAGTACTCGGATGGTCTTATTATCAACAACCCAGAACCAAAATTTACTTATCGAATAAATTTACTAATGATTAATGCCCGAACAGCCAAACAGGCATGAATAAGTGCTCTTTAAATTAGGCCAAATTTCTTGAACAATTTTCACAAGAGATTTAAAAGCTAGCGAATTAAAGAAAGTAAATTTATTAAAGTCAGGAAGTAAAAAAGGATTTTGAACACCTTATTTAATAACATAATTCATATTATATTCCTTCATTCACTTGTAAATTGTCATGTTTTTTTCTGAAAGAGTAAGAAATTCATCCAAATCAAAAATAATATTTGAATGTTTGCAATAATATTTGTGCAAATTGTTGTAAACCTCCTAGATAATTACCCTTAAAATTAGTGTAAAAAAAAATTATAAGGAATTTATTTTTGAGTAAAATAACTGGATATGTTTAACCAATTTTCAAGACCAGTTTCAATTAAAAGATCAAAATGACAAGTATTAATATTTTTAAGGAAATGGTACCATCATGAATATATCTACGTAGATTTTATAATATAAACAGATTAATATTATATTTAATATTACATTTGAATGCTGCTAAAAGAAACCTGAATTCAGTTTTTTAACTTAATAACTTATCAGCTCAGCCGATAAGTTATTAATTTAAAAAATCGAAGTCAGGTTTACTTTAATTTATTAATACTTACTTGATAATTATATCGAATGCTTTAAAGTATTTTATTTATTTTTTTAAGACTGAATCTAAACAAAACTTTAACTTTTGAATAAATTCAGCTTTTTCCTTTTCACCGCCACTTTCTTCGATGCTCCAATACTCATTGCGTGTTCTCTCCATTAACTCATTTACCATAAGTCTTCTATTTTCTGCTGCTTTGTCGATTTCATTTTTTTCAGGAAATTCTATCCTTACTAACTCACGATGTTCATAAATTTCGAATCCACCTTCGTCAAACATTTGTTGAAATTGTTTCCAAGCTTTAGCTATTAGCAATTTCCTGAGACTATACATTTGCTTGTGGAGAATATGCTTGCAAGGAAGCATGTATTTGCGAAAAAAAAGACAATGACATTCAAGTGACAACAAGCCAGGCAATCCTTTACCTTTCTCTATCCTATCGTTAAAAGCAAGAACTTCGTTGATTATTAATTTCTGAATAGGAAAAGGAAACTTATGAATTTCTTTAAGAACATCATCTTCAACACTGACAGCAGAAATTTTTTTAACACGAAATTCGAACGTAACATAATCAGAATCTGATTGTTTTTTTAGATCAAGTGCAACAATCTTATTGCATGCACTGATCAGACCATATTGAGGTGAGGTTGTTCTTTTTAACTCGCTATGATATGACTCCAGAGCATTTGTCAATGTTATTTGTAAAAGTATTGGAAAGTGCTGGCAGGCCCATAGGGCCCACTGGTGAGTATTTTCTGAATAATATCTTGAGATGTATTTTTTGACAAGAGAAAGGGTACATTCATTAATTGCTTTTTGAACAAACATATCACAACCAATTTTTGTTTGTTTATGCATGACTTGAATCATTTTGGATCGAGTTTCTGATTTATATATTTTATTCATTCATGTCCGCATAATGTGTACAGTACAAAAAATAACATCACATTCTTGTTCACCTTTGCTAAGACCTGGGAAGACTGTTATAATACTTTTTGCCTCTATACTGCTTTGATCCGCCAAAAAATAACGAGGTTTCCAGGTGCTACAAAATCGTCTAACAATAACTAATGCTGCTGCAATGTTAACACTATTTTCATTGCTAATGAAAAAATGTCCACCGACATCCTAGCAGCCATACCCATCCCGAACATACAGCGTAAATAAACGCTAGTCATATTTATTGGTCTTATGGGTTGAATCTATAAGGGTTAGCCATCCATATTGCTGAAGCTTTTCAAGTTGTTTTGGATGTGCAAAAACAAAACCAGAGGTGGATTGGTGAGAAGTTTTATACGATTCGACTTGATAACTTTCCTTTATTAAAAAAGAAATTGCATCTTGGATATCTGGTGCTAGTTTAGAAGCGCCAATAAGATAAGTGTTTTGCGGTCCACAGACTTTGTACTTTATATTGGCGACTTCCCTCCACTTTAATTCCTTTACACTCGTGCCAAGATCCAGCTTCTCAGATGCATACTCTTTAACTGCATTTACTATTGCAGATGTAGGATAATTTTTCATCGCCTCCTTTTCTACTAAAACTCTAACAGCCTGGGAACGTTTAAGCTTGTCACTTTCATTCAAATCATGCGCATAGTCCGAGGAACCTGGGAACTGTTCAACACACACTTTTTGCTCGACAACAAACCATGATACCTTTATTTTTGCATGGCATAAGTCTGCTTCTCGAACC